TCCAAAAAAAAAAAAAAAATATCTATATATCAATGGGCAGGATCTTGATTTTAGCCACCCTTTCCCTTTTCTTGCTGTCCACTTGTCATGCCGACCTCATATCCGATGTCTGCTCTGCATCCATATACTCTGCTTTCTGCTACCGAACCCTAAGATCCGACCCGGCCGCCCGTGCAGCAAAGGACCTCATAACTCTCGGCACAGTCGTGGCCGGGAAGGGCAAAGTCGCCTCTCATGACGTTTACGTCATCTCAAAGTCGATTGGCGGCCCAGGAGCTGACACGTGCGTCGAGGTCAGCGTTGATGCCATAGATTTTCTCGACGAGGTGTTGGGTTACTTGAGAATGCCCGGGAGCGGGACAAAGGATGATCTTCTGACCAAGGGCTCGGCGGCTTTGAGTGATTTGTACACTTGTGAGGAGGATTTTGGCCGCCGTGAGCCGGGAAAGCTGAAAGCGGCCAACGCCAAGGCCAAGAGTCTCGTTAGTATACTGCTAACTATTGGGAACAAGTTGTGAGAGGAGAGGGGAATTAATTAATCAATTATAGCTAGTGAATGAATTAATATTAATAATAATATATTTAAAAGGTTTGAGTGTACTGGTGTTTTTTGGGAAGTTGAACCGATTGATTGACGAAATATAGTTTTACGGAATTTTTTATTTTTTATTTTTAATAAATGGTGTGGTGAGTATAAAAAATTGTTGATGCTTTTTGAATTTATCTTTTGCTAATTAATGTTTTATTTTTAAATTTATTTTTTAGGTTTATCTATATTTGTATGTTTGTTATTTATATTACAATTGCCAACATATATATAAATGGATAGATTTACTCTTCCAATTCTGAATTGATAGTTGACCAATTTTTGAATACTTAATTGAGAAAGTTTACTTATATATATAGGTTCTAATTAATAATTAGAGATTGAGTTTATTTTTCAGAGCAAAACTCTTTTTGCGAAAATGGTAAAAAATCTGATGTGATTTTGTTTTATATGACTTATGTAATTGTATTTTTCAGAACTGAATCTGGTTTGGTTCGGGGAAAGTTTGACTACAACCCAGCACTAAATTTAACATCCCCTTATATTATATATAATTACAGGATGTGTTGAGCTTAAGTGGACTCGCGTGTTACGTAATCTTATACTTCGTGAAAAATAATGCTTGGTAATTTGGTTTGGATAAAATATAATGTTATTTTTAATTAATAATTTTAGGTTCGGACATTCCATATTGAAAAACTAACTGGGATAATTCCATAATACGTTGAATGAAATGATACAACTAAAAGGTGAATAACAACCCATAACTGAAATGATACAACTAAAAGCTGAATAAAATTGAGTGGACAATCTGAAGATCGCCTAAAGCCGACACTAGCAACACTAGAAAACTCACCCACAAACTAGAAAAACACAAAAACAATATCAACAAAGCACCAATAGGGAAGAATCACCGATCCCACCGGAATAATACACGGATCCCAACCGGGATAAAACAAACCAAAAGACCCAAAACGAGCCAAGCAACACAACAAAAAAGACACAAAAACATTAACAAACACACCTAAACAACTAAAATGTAAACATATCCCTTCCATAGCAGACAAACTGAACCCAAACAAAACACCTGCAGACACCAAAGAAAATTCCATTGGCCGAGAAACTACTCTTGAAACTGTCGAAACCGCCTAACAAAAGCTGAAACCCAAGGCCCAAACCAATCTAGGAAGCCGACACGACCGCAGCCGGAGGACCACTAATTCACCCACCACACTACCACAACTGGCTAATACCACTAGCCAAGTCGGCAGCACCAACCCCACACGGACCCCACTAATATTATATTTAGGAAAATATAATAATTAAAATTTTTTTTCTACTTATTATTATCTCCATGCATGTTTTATTAATATTTTTTATTTATTTAAATTTTAATTCACCCACATCATTTTTAACATCAAGTCGCGCAATCCTTTGCGTATTAGTAATATATCGAAAAGGTTTTATATTATTAGTTTAATTTGGCTGCATTTTGATGTTGTTTTTCTTTTTGGATTAGTAACTTGGGTGTTTTGTTGGGAAGTTAAACCGATTGAGTGACGAAATATAGTTTTACTCAATATTTTTATTTTTATTAGCAAATGATGTGGTGTATAAAAAATTGTTGATGCGTTGTGAATTATCGTTTACTAATTCTTGTTATTTTAATTTATTTTTTAGGTTTATTTATATTTGTATATGTTTGTTATTTATCCAATTGACAACATATAAACGGATAGATATGATTTAGTCTTCCAATTGTAAATTGATACTTTGACCAATTTCTGAATACTTGATTGATAAAGTTTTACTTCTAGGTTCTAATTAATAATTAGAGGTTGAGATTATTTTTCAAAACAAAACCCCTCTTCCGAAAATGGTACAAAATCTGATGTGATTTTGTTTTATATATGACTTATGGAATTTGTACTTTTAGGAACTGAATCGGTTTGGTTCGGGAAAATTTGACTACAGCCAACCACTAGAAATTAACATACTTTCAATAATCCAAATAATATTAAATAGAAAAATTGAAATATTTATCCATTTAATTACTCAACCAATTAGCCTCACCATTGTTAATTTTAAGACGATTCGTTTAGCATAAGGCATTATAGCGGAATTGGGGGCTGGAATTTGTTGATTTTGATCAAAATAGGCAAAATTGGTTGATTTGCCAAAAATTGACATGATTTTGCGTGTGACGCACCCTAATTTGTCTCATTTAATTTTATAAATATATTTTTTTGTGTAATAAATTATTTTACTAAATAATTACATATTTTTTGGCATATGACACTGTTAAATAATTAAATAATTAACACCCACAAATTTATATTTTGTTTTGTCAAAATCAAAAAAGTTAGTACACCAAGATATAAATAAAACCGTAAGAAACAGAAAGATAAAGAACATTTAAACAAAAACTAGTTGAAGGAAATTGTTTTTTTCATTAATTATCGCATCTTGTATTTTGTTAAATTATGGTGTTGTTTGATATATGCGTCTTGGGATCAAATCAAATTAAGAGTTCGAGCGTGACGGTTCGACTGGCTAATATTTCTACTTTTATTATTCCATAAGTAACTGTTTGAAATAATTTTGTAAATAATAAAGTTAATTAAAAAAAAAACATATCATATTTTGGAATAGAAAATTACAATTTTAATTGTTTTTTTCCTAAAAAAGAATTAATCCTTTAAAACTGTGAATTCAATTTGTACATTGAACACAGTGACGAACTCTATAATTTCCTTTTTTATATTTATTTTAATTTTAATGGCATACCTTCCTTTTTATATTTATTTTAACTTATTGGCATACCATATTCAAAAAATACTCTCTAATTAATTTCACAGATCACATTTCCATAAAATCACACCCTAACTATTCTATATATAACCCTCACAAAGAAAGAAAATTAAAAATCAAAAGCTACACAACAAATAACAATAAAATTAAATAAATTAAAATAAAAATGGCGTCGTCCCTTTGCATCATCCTCGCCATCCTCCCACTCTTCTTCCTATGCACCACTTCCCGTGCCGACCTAATTTCCGACGTCTGCTCCAAATCGCTCGACCCGTATTTCTGCACCCGAACCCTAGGATCCGACCCGGCCGCCCGCGCGGCTCCCGACCTCCGATCCCTCGGCCGAGTCGTGGTGGTGAGGGCAAAATCCGCCGCCCGAGTCGTCATATATGTAGCCGCCTCCGTCGGCGGCCAAATCGGCGGCACGTGCGTCGAGACCAGCCGCGACGCCATCGACAACCTAAACGAGTCCTCGAAGGCCCTTAGGAGGCCCGGCAGGGTAGCCGTCGGGGATCTCCAGACCAAGGCCTCGGCGGCGTTGTCCGACGTGGCGACCTGTGACGATGAGTACGAAGGCAGTGGTCGGCCGGAGCCGGCTAAGCTGAAGGCGGCCACGGCCAAGGCGCAAGGGATTATTAGTATACTGCTGGTTATCGCTAACCAGTTGTGAGGGGGATATATGTTTATCTTATTCTAATTTGTTTTCTGGATAATAGCAATTGAAGTTTGACTGTTTGACGGCTTTTGAATTATTATTATTATTATTTCTCTTTTGACTGGTGATTTGATTTGGTTGATTAGTTTATTATATGTTTTAAAATATGTTTTTTACCATGTTGATGAACACAAGTGTAGAGAGCCGCCGGTCCGGAATATGATAAGGCTCTGGATGAAAGGGTCTGGATTAAATCTCCTAAATATTAAAGTTTCATTAAAAAAAATCATAATGTTAGTATAATAAAAGTTGTGAAATTTAAAATATAATTATATCTAAATTTATATTCCTAATGTAACAAATGAAAATGGAGGAGGAAAATATTTTATTTCCTAATATAAAAAATAAACATTAAAACTCTAAACTTGTCCCTGGAACGGAATTCAAAAAGTCCATACCTAATATCAACACCAATAGGAGCATAAGTAGCTAATACATAAGAAGAACCAGTAGAGTTTAAATCATTGAAGTATATAAAATTCAGTTAAAATTTATAATTTTTAATATATATCTTAAATATATATCTTAAATCATTGAAGTATATAAAATTCAGTTAAAATTTATAATTTTTAATCGTCAAAGTAAAATATTCTTAGGGGAGTGTATTCAATTTCAATTTGTAAAGACTTTTTAAAACATTCAGAATTCAGGTGTATTCAATCAGAACTTTTAGAGATTTCTGAAAAATTTACATGTATTCAATTGAGACTTCTGAAAAATTTACAAGTATCAGGTATTCAATTTAAACTTTCTGAGAGCCTTTATAAGTCATCCGATATTCAAAATATGAAGACTTTGTGAGACTTTTCAAATTGTGAGACTTTTAGAGACTTTTCTAACAAAATTACAAAGAGAAAGTCCCAACAGAAATCTCATCAATATTTGTGAGATTTTGCTGGACTTATGTGACTCTCTTCACGCTCTCTTTCGTTTTCTTCCTAACACGACTTTATATCTCATATCACTTTCATGCTTTATTATTTTACTCATTTATTTTGATATCTTGTATAATTTTTATTTTCATTACGTATATTTAACGTGATCTTTATTTTTTATATTTTTTATTATGGTTATTTTATGCATGTATACCTTTATTCTTTCATTTTGTTATCTTGTGAATTTGATTTTTCAAAGGTTCAATGCTTCCATAATTTGCACTTGCGAATAATTTATTTGTTCTCTCGTTTTATTTGTCAATGTTTATTTTTTAATATTAATAAAATTATTTATTTTCTAATAGTTTATTTGTTGATACTGAATTATTTTGAATATTATTGATAACTTTATAAAATACAATTATTGTTTTTCGACAATGTTTGATTGTTTGTATTTTCTATAGTTCGACTCGTTGAAGCTCGGATTGATTTGCTCGTTTAATAAATCTAAAAATCCTAAACAATTTGTTAGTGAATAACTCATTTCTCATAACAATGAGTTGATTCATAAATTTTTAGAGGATTATTATATAAAATATTTTTTTTTCATTTATTCTTCTTGATATTAGTATTATTTTACGTTTATTAATGTTTCATTCAAACATAATATTATAACTACAACTATACAAAAGTCTCAATAAGTTTTAAAAAGTCTATTATGAAAGTCTTAAAAAGTCACTAATGAGAATTCTCCGAAAGTCTCAACAAGTTCACCAAAGTCATGAACGTTTTACAAAGTCCACAAAAGTCACCAAATTTAAAAAGTTTTAAAAAGTCCTTAAGAATCTCAATTGAATACAACCACTTAGTTTTGATATCTACGAAAACTAAATAAGAATAAATTGAAATTCGTATTAAAATGAATTGATTGCAATTGACTCTTCTAATGACTATATATTAGTACTATTATTTAATTGTGCAATCACCATCAAAGTTACTCTATTGAATCGACTTGCCTCTAAGGTCTAAAAAAGCTTCAATCCATACTTAAGACAATTTTTCAAATTTGAAATGCAATCATCACCGATATGACCTACAATTTTTCAAATTTGAAATGCGATCATCACCGATATTACCTTCTTGAACCGACCTTCAATTGAGGTCTTAAAAAAGCTTCAACTTTGCCAGATTAAAATCAAATCGACCTACCACTAAAGTAAAAAATTCAATCCATACATGATAATTTCCAAAATTAAGATTTAATCACCATCAATATTATCTTATCCAATCGCCTTGCCACTAAGGTTTTCTAAAAGCTTCCATTCTTTGTGATTTTCACAGATTAAAATGCAATCACTGGCAAGGCTGATCGATTCAACTTACCAACGATAACTACATAAAGTAACTACCAAAATATCCTAATAAAACTATTAATTTGATATGTCCCCTAAAGCATTCGAATAAATGTTCTTAAGACTTTTATTACCGTAAAATCAATTAACATTCGCACCATAATTCGGAAAATGAAAAGTAAATTTCCGGCTATTTGATTGAAAAAGAAAGATTTATTTATTTATTTATTTATTTTTGTGCTAAAGAAACTTTTATTCACCTAACTCACACCAAGTGTGAGTGTGGTTGACAGCTCTATGAAGACTACAACTCTCCTTAATAGTATGAATTACCTTANACACCCAGCAGGGAGGGATTGAGGCTGGATCCCCAACCTGTATATAGTCACGGCCCTAGATGGGCTACAAAAGTCACGGCCCTCAATGGGCTACAAAAGTCACGGCCCTAAATGGGCTACAAAAGTCACAGGTTTACATAAGTCCAATAAAAACTGACGAAGACAACAACTAAAGTTCTTCATTAACGAGGAAAGAGGAGGGCCCTGGGATTTGGGCCGGGGAAGGAACCGGACCTAATAAGGAGGGGTTGGGTGGAGCCTTGTCATTAGGAGGTCTCAAGTCCGAAGGAGTTGGGTTCGGGGCAAGAGATGGGCTAGCGGCGCTCGGAAGAGCAGAAGAAGGGGGAGAAATATGAGGAGAGGGTTCAATGTAGGGGGTTTTTTTCCTTGTTGATTTTGGCGGGACGAATGGTTGGATTCTTTATGTAGCAAGTTGAGTCATCGTGTCTTACATGAGAGCAATAGGAACAATATTTTGGTAAGCGTTCAACCTCGACACTGAGTTCGACACGTTTGTTTCCGCAAGAGACGGCGATACTAGTGGGATGGGGGGATTTAAGATTGAGAGCTACGCAAAAACGAGCATATTGGAGCCGAGTTTTTTTTAGTGTGGCATCATCGACTTTTAAAAAGGTGCCAAAGATGTTGGCGATTGTTCGAAGGGCCTTTAAATCGAAGCATTGAAGGGGGAGAGCTGGAATTTTTATCCAAACCGGGACAATAGGTGGTTCTTTTTTGAAATCGAAATCGGTGGACCGCTTGAAAATCCGCATAGGAAAATTAAGAATATAGATTTCGCGCTTCAATCAAAGTTTGGTGGACGTGTTTGGATCATCAACTTTGATCAAGACGTGATTGGCATGAAGGAAAAGAATTTTGCATCCGGTAAAACCCAAGAGAGTGAGTCTCGACCGAATAGCCTCGTCGGAGGGCTAGCCGAAAGAGAATTTGCCAATGAGGGCATATTTGAGGTCCTCCGATATTTTAGGGACTTCCGGAGGGAAAAAAAGAACCTCCGGAATGCTGCCGGATAGAGAAATAGAGCCATAGGAGAGGGGCTCGGATGGGACGGCTTTTTGGGCAGCCGAGAGGTAGGATGGTCCAAAGGCTGAATTGGAGGGTTGGGTTGGGTTCGGGCAGGATTGGAGGGTTTGAGTTGGGATCGAGCTGGGCAAGGTGGCGGTTGAGGTGAGAGGGGATGGGAAGAAGGGTTGGGCTGGTTGGGTGAAAAAGGGCCTAACAGAATTGGACCCAGAAAATAGAGGAGAAGAAATAGAGGCACTTATCAGCCTAAGAGGGGAAGCCCGAGGAGACGATGGTGCGGTGTTGAGTGCCGCCGCCTCTGTTTGATTGAACTCGGCGACAACTTCCGGCTGGGCAGTGACTGGAGGTTCCTTCGGGGCTTGAGAGCTCGAATCGGTGTTGACAGAGTCGACGGTAGGAGCAGGACCTTTGGATCGCCTGAGGATTTGGTGGCCGAAGAGAAGACAAGCTGCTGACCGAAGGAAGCTTGGGCCGCCGGCAGATTTAGGAGGTACTCCAAATCGCCAGGAGGCCATTCACGGATCATTGTTGGGTTTTGGGGGACCGCTGCTAGCCGGCGGCGGCCGTCTTACTTTTAGGGGAACTCCGAGAGGCACAACAAAGCAGATATATTAGAGCTTCCGTGGTGAAAGTGTCTGGCTGGAGTCGGCACCGGATAAAGCTCGCTCAGTCTCTTAGGCAATTTGTCGAACACCTTGAGGTCAGATATTAGGAAAATTGATGTCTAGCCGATTTGTTCTCCAAAATAATCCCAAGAAGGTTGCAAATTCCCAATTCAGAATCCCACACAAAGTATCCAAGTGTTTTGACAATTTTTCTGTACTGAACTTTGCGTGTTTGGGGTTGGAGGACAAGAGTACTTTTTAGAGGGTAGCCTAAAGTGTGCAGAAGTATTTTTCTGTAATCCAAAATGTCTGTAGTTGCTAGGTTAGTTCTCTGTAGTTGCTAGGTTAGTTCTCTGTATAAAAATCAAGATAAAATAAAATAAAAATAAAAAATAATTATCTTTCGGAGTAATTAAATATTTCTATCAAACGCGATTATTTTTACAATACATTTTAAAATATCCTTTTTAATTAATCGTTGTCATAGTAATTAAGCGCAGGCACTTCAATTCTGGAACTACTCAAACTTTATTCATTCATAGCAACCAAGCAACTATTAACTCTGTACATTATTAATTACTCACACAAACTCAAACCAACACAGCACTTACTAACTGTGTACATTATTAATTCACAATTAACTTCACACCAATACTTATTGCAAGCAACCACACGTGCGACCTTGTTTTTTTTATTCAGCTGATTTATCATAAGCTCGGGCCCGCCTGATGTTAACAGTAAACGGCGCATTTGATTCCGACGTGGCCAGAGCCAAACGCCTCGAGCGGCCATCCGAGACTACGGTCACATTCGAGCATTGGTCCGCCATTCTGCACCTTTCGCACGACAAACAATACTGGAGCCTGTACCATGTATTCGGGCCGCTCGGCCCGTATGGCTCGAACTTGAACCAGTAAGCCGGGTCCTGTCCGGTGGGGTTCCCGAGCACACCCCCGGTCGAGAGGGTACTCCTCCGGAGGAATGGGTCAATACGCACCGTCACTACAGTGCTCTCGTTGCACTCTATAGGTGCGGTGGTGAACCGGAATTTCTGATTGGCCCGGGCGTTGATGGGCCCGTCTAGCCCACTCGCCGGGTGGAAGGTCAAGGGCAGGCCCGGTCTGATGTCAGACGGCATCTGAATCACGTCCAGAGGGCACGTGCTGCGGCTCTCCACCAGGCTGAGGTCGCCGCCGGCGGCCCCACGGCCGATCGAGGAGATGTAGTAAGGGACTCCACGGCGGACGGGATTTTCGGAGGTGTCGATGAGTGTTTGTGCGGCGGCAAACCTCAGGAAAAGGAAACAGGTGATGAGGGGGATTAATTGAGGGGTACTCATCATCTTCTTCGGACGTTTGTTATTTGTGATTAGGTTGAAAGATAAAAATATGGCTATGTATATGAATAGATCGGGCTGTGAATTGTAGAGGAGAAGGCGGCCCTTCTCCTTTTATAGGCCATCTTGTGAGCTTGAAATGACATACATTGAACATAAATTTTTATATAATAAATTCATAGTGGTACTAAAAGTAATTAACTCCACGGCGGCCAATGAATTAAATAATTGTCAAAACGTGTTATGTCCTGTGTGATATAGGAATGGACAATTTTAAAGCTACTACCCACGATCTGGTTTTTTTTTATTACTTGCTCCTGTTGTCAGCCTTTTTTGTATATTTTATATATTGTTTTTTGTTTTTATTTTTGTTTGACTTGATGTATATCAGACATTGAACTTGTAGATTCGCGACCTTTTTGCCCATTTATTGCCTTTTTATGTATAGATTGGGGGTCCGGCATTAACTCCCCGCCTTTCTGGGGTGTTGTTCTTGTTAAAAATTATATGCACTAGTATTCGATCCTGTGCAATTGCACATATTTAAATAAAGTATTATAAGTTATTTGAATGCATATAATATTAAAATTATAAGTTAAATAATGATATTATATTTTAAACATAAGGTATTATAAGTTATATAATGCATATAATATTAAACTTATAAGTTAGATAAAGGTATTATATTTTAAAATTTGATCATTGGTTAAAATAAATAGTACATAACGATTTGATTGTATATGAATCACTATATTGATTGCATAAAATAAAATAAATAATGTATTTTTTGAAAGTTTAAGGGACTATGACTAATTAATTAGTTAAAAGATATTAAATTTATTATAACAATTGCTTATGCGATTTTAAGTAATTTTATTATGCCATTAAAAAAATTAATTTATTTAAAAAGTAATCGCTTAAGCAGATAAAGAAATATCATATTGATTTTATAATAAATTACTCGAACAAAAAGTTTTTACAACATAGTTTCTTATGTTTATGTAACTTTCACATATCATTTAGTGTAAAATATAATTATTAATTGTAATAATAACTATTATATGATACAATTTTCAGAGCTGGTGAAATTATTTTGTATTGTTGTTAGTGTATTTGTCCATGTTGCACATGTGCTGTATTTTCTATTTTCACCATGATTAATTATTGTATTGATATCATCAAAAACAATAGATATTCCAAATAAACATTTATAAAAAGTTTTTTTAAAAATTTATATTCTGAATACATGCTTATGTAATCATGAGTTTCTATAATAAATAATTCGTAATTAAGTTAGCATAGTAATGATTATATAAGAAATTAAAAAAGTAAGCAGTTTTAGCTAATTAACCTAAATTGATATACTTAGATAAAATAGTGGTCATTAGTTTAGATTTTGTAACTGTTCAAAATTGATGTATTTTGTAAAATTAACGGTTTTTGTGTTTGGAAAGTTTGTATTATTTATTAGGTAAAATTTATTAGATTTTATTTATGAGGTAAAACTAAATGAAAGGCTAGCAATTATATATATATATATATATATATATATATATATAGATAATAAATAACAATAAATTGCTTCGTTCTTCGTTGATAAATTGGGAACAAATATAGTCTAACACAAGAAATAATATATTTTTCTTTTAATTAGTACAATTTTGCTTGTAAAACCCAATATTAGTCCAATAATTCCAACAAGAGGCTTTATAAGTGAGCATATTCCACGTTAGAAACAAGTAAAATATGAGCTATTTAAATGACTTCACAATCAACTCTTCACAAGTTCAATAGCTAGAACTGTTGAACCGTTTAAACAGGTCCAGGTTCACCGGTTTGTGCGGTTTTGGAACGGTTCGCATGCCTACCGGTTTTATGCTGCAAACCAAACCTGAATGAAAACTGGTTCCAGATCGAACCGGTTGGTACGGTCCTATTTTCAAAACCATGGTAAATATAATAATCATAAAGCTACCTACCTAGCCTGGAAACTGCTCGCACTCTCCACTCTAGCATATTTTCATAGGAGATGTTGGAGAACATCCCGTTGATAAGATCCGAATTCCACTCTTGTTCTCCGCTTTGAAAGCCTAGCAATAGACATGACCATAAAATGATCTGGACCTTGGTCAACAGGCTTTGAACCGGTACCCGTTGTTTGACCGGACCACTTATACTGATTTTTAATTTTCGAATCGTCGAGTTGGTTCGAATCGGAATCAGAACAAACGGTTTAACCATTATTTTTTTACAAAAAAGTTATTATTTTTTATTTTTTCAATTGAACCGGGCAGGTCCAGAACCGACGGTTCACTGAACCGGACCAGAATCGCTGGTTCACTGAACTGGCTTGTGCATATTTCGGGCCGGTTCAGGGCCCTCCAACCCTCAACCCGGAACTGAGGAATGGACATGTCTACTTGGTGAGGCACGTGCAAATCCATAACGTTCATAAAAATATAAAAATCAAAAGTTAAAAATATTAATTGATAATTAAATTATATAAGTTACACAAAAAAAAATATCCTATTTCCATATAAAATCATATGGTAATATATTTCAACGTATATTATAATGATAGAGCTACTATTGGAATGATTCCGACGAAGATTTCAATGAAAATATTATGTTGGAATGATTTTAGATGGAATTTGATTATTCCAACAGTTACTTTTCCAATGTTTTTTTGTTACTGTTGGAGTATATAATTTTCGTTGTAATTTTTTTTATCTTAATTTCAATCATTGAAAAATTTACCGTTAGAATAGTCAAAATTTAACGGTAATTCCAATGAAAAACTCTTTTCGCCAAAATATTTCTGTTGAAATTTTCGTTGAAATCTATTGAAAAATTCTAACGGAAATAATAGATTGAAATATTTATTGGAATTGTCGTCCAACTTTTATTGGAATATATTTATGTTAGAATTTCAGTTAATAAAGTTTAATAGTTAAAAATATATAATAACAATAATTTTTATTTGTTTAATTGTGTTGACGAGTTTAAAAAAATGAAATGAAATATCTGTAAAAAAAATGGAATGACATGTTTTTGGATGAAGAAAATCATGTATATATCCAACCTTGTGTTTGGATGAGAGAGGCCGTCCTTTGACACCGAGCTCCACCTCCACGCACGAGACAAACAAAATATTATGTCAACAGTCAACACGTGATAAGATTTATATTAGTTGCTATTGTTTTTGTTAATTATCGAGGCAAAAGATATTTTGTTTAGGAGATTCACAGTTCACCAAACTTTACCAAGGCAGGTAGGCAGTCCAACCTTATCCGTTTGTGTTTAAAGTTTGGTAGAATACGATAGTATTATATATCACCAATTGTCTTTGATCTATTTTTTATTTTAGTATTTTGAGGACTAATATAAAAGTCATAAGAGTTGTATTATTAAAAATAAATTAAACGTATTAAAAAAGAGTTCTTCACAACACAAAGTTGTCAACGAATTTAAATGTTAATTATAGCACCCACAATGCATTGGATTTCTTAATATAATATCATATGCCACATAGGAAATAGACCTAGTATATAAAAAAATGTCTCACAATGCAATTAAAAGTGGACATGGTCTAGCTTATGTGTCAATAAAAAAAAAACAGTCCACACTTGGGTTTATTTTGGACCCAAGTACAAATCCAAACACTCATCATTTATTCCTAATTTAATCTTTCTTTTAATAAAAGAAAAATATTAGAGCATTTTTATTGGTTGACATGTATGCTAGACCTAGTATTTTATTTTTGCATTGAATAGCTTTTGAGTTTTGTTATTTGAGTTTGTCCATGTCATTTAGAACTCAAGTCTATTTATATGTCACATAAGTAAAATTAGACCCAATGCATTGTGGGTGCTCTAAGGTGAATTTGCTATGTGAAACATGGTGTTATGTTTTGTGGCCCAAATGACCTTTGTGGATACTCAAGTATTTTAGAAGCAGGTTGTCTTACAACAATTAGAGATATCAGCAATGCTGCAACAGATCAGCACAACGGTGCGAGTGAGGCGGAATTATGTGTGTATGACTTTAAAGACAGTTGTGTTTTGTGTGTATTTCATACGTTTTTCAGAGGTTTTTAATGCACCATTTATACGAATAAAATGGGAAATTATGATAGTTGTATGTTACCTCAGATGCTAGGTGATTGATACATGTGGTCATGCAAATATTTGACTTTGAAGACAAAATCTTATTGACTTTTGATGATGGGGCCCGTTGGGCGATCGTCTTTCCGATCTCAATACTTTTAAAAACAATTTTTTCTACCTTTCTGAACGGGATGATTTTTTTAAAAAGTACCTCATATAAAAATTTAACCATAAAATAAGTAAAATGGAACCATGCATGTCTATAGTTTGGTGGGCTGGTAAGAGTAATGTAATGTTTGTCTTTATGTGTTACTGTTTTATTTTTGAATTCTTGGGGACACTTGTAAAACTCTACAAATTAACTCTGAGCTTATTGTTGTACTAAATTATTTTTTTATCGAGTATGATAGGAATCGAGATTTTAGGTCGATCTCTACAATCTAGATACATCGTCGATCATAGGCAACAAGAAAATAGTCATACACATTTCAATCTCAAAAGTGAGAGAGAGGAATTTATCTGATAACTATGTAAAATAGAAAAAAAAAAAGAAATAATAATAAAAAAAGTAAACGAAGGTCGAGGAAGAAACTTGTTGTATAACTGAACACTAGTACAACACCCATGTATTAGTGGCTACGTCACTGAGTAGATAGTGTAAGAATGATTGCATGGTATTATGTAATTATATAGATAATTTTGATGATAGTAGGGTTGAGTTACAGTTAAGAGTTCGATTTTGAGTTTGATGAAATTTTGGGTGAAAAGTTTTGTATCCAAAATTAATGCTTAGACTCACTCTAAGTCGAATTTTATTTATTGTGAGTAATTAAGCGCAGGCACTTCAACTGCTCATGCATCATGCTATTTCAGCATACATAAATAATGGGACTATAGTCCCATTACAGAACTATTCCGTCGCGATTTTTAATTTTAGATACACCATGTAGATTAATATAGATTCCCGACGGAATGATTTCTAATCTACATGGTGTATCTACGGTTAAAAATCCCGATAGAATGATTCTGTAACGGGATTGTAGTGCTTCTCAATAAATATATATAGCAGCCAGTGTTTTAAATAGCTCACTAATTTGCTTTTTTTCCAAAAAAACGCGATCTAGTTTTATATCGTTAGTGTTTTTCTCGAAAAGGTTACGCGGAATGCTGAAATAGCATGCTTTTTAACGGTATTTTGCGCTACTTTGCCCTATATTTATGCAACAACATTTAAACAATAAAATATTCGAAAAACTTATATTTTTTAGGCATTAGAGTTATGTTTTTAAATGACCAAAAAACTAAAAATTTTGATAATGATTTCAAATTAAAGTTTGAAAATGCAAAGTCCTACGTTGAATATATATATATATATATATATATATATACATATATATCGGTCCAGGTCTATTATATCATTATATTTTGGAGTATTTGACATTTAAATTTAAGAATAAAAAGTTCAGACCTAATAGTTAGAATTAAATTTTAATTAAACTAAAAGAATTAATTACAATGTATATGATTAAAATAAAATTATGACTTATCTTATTATATTTTTTCGTTGTGTTTGTACTTTTTGTATATACGTTTTATTATTTAAATATTTATATTATGATATTTACATTAAATATTTGTAAGAAATAATTATTAGATGTTATTTGAGTTTATTTAAATATTATGATAATTTTTGGAATCAATCATCCAGTTTTATTATATGCAAGTATATATATAATATTTCTATAAAAATAATATATAGTATTTCTTTAAAAAGTAGAAATATAATATTTCTATATAAATAATTTTTGGCCAAATTGCAAAAACTAGCCAGTAACTTAGACGGGTTGGCATTTATACCCACCATCTTTCGACTTTGGCAATAATAGCCAAAACGTTTTAAAAAATCGGTCTTTCTACCCAAATCCAGCCAAACTCGTCGGAACTCCGCCTGAGGTCACAAAACATGCCAGCGTGGACTGCACGTGGACGAATTAATCCACCTCAGTTATACCGTCTATAAATACACCATCCACCGTGTTCTCCTTCATTTTTCACACACAAATCGGCAAAAATTCGAACAAGAAAGAAAAGTCCCAATATTCGAGCAGAAACCCTAGATTTCGAAAGCCTTCTTGGTCGGTACAACCTTCAAGAAATTCGACTTAAGAGTGAAGCTCTAACGAGATGTCTTACAACACAGATAATCCAAATTGCCATTGTGGGTTGCGAGCTGAAATTCGCACTTCGTGGAAAACTCCAAATTGTGGAAGAAGATATTTCTCGTGCCTCCATTGGCCTGTAAGTCATACAATATTTGAGAGTTTTAGATGAATAAGTGCTTGTAATTGAATTTGATTTTTGTTTTTATTTATGTATTTTATTTTTGGTGGAATTCAGGGAGGAGGATGCAAGTATTTTGGATGGGTCGATCCTCCTCTTTGTGCTCGTGCTCAACAAATAATTCCTGGGTTGCTCAGAAGATTGAATGAAATGGAAGAATCAAGTAAGAGTGTTGACATTGAAAAATTCTAGGTTCTGAAGTTTGAAGAAGAAAACAAGAAATTGAAGAAACTTAATTTTCAGTTTGAAGAAAAAACCAAGAAGTTGAAGAAACTCAATTTTGAGTTTGAAGAAGAAAACAAGAAACTGAAGGCAGAAATTCTGAAATTGAAGTATGAGAGTGCCAAAAAAACAAGACTTCTAAGGATGTTAGTAGCATTATTAATAATTTGGAGTTTGGTGTTTTTCTTTTGTGGCTCTCAGACAGATGATGAAAAGATGGTGAATAATTGATATTAGGTTGATGCATATTTGGAATGTTGTTGACATTGTTGTATTTGAATGTAACTTGATCTTGTAATGGCATAACAAATGTTAGTTTGTGGCATATTTGTGGTCAGTCTGTTGACCATTTTTTATAGTTTTAGCTGCAGCTTTGCCTGAAATACATATAGCACAAAAATGTGCACAAAAATTGTATGAACATAAAGATCATAACAAATTCATTACCAAATCCAACACAAAATCCAACAAATCCAACACAAATCCCCTTATAATCCATAACAATCTACACAGTGCATACCAAATCCAACAAATTAGAATTCCTTACAAGACCATAACAAATTCATTACCAAATCCAACACAAAATGCATGAACATAAATTGTACACAAATTTCTTACAAGATCATAATAATTCCTTAGAACCCATATCAAAAACCATAACAAATCCATTACAAAATCCACAAAAACTACCAACCAAATCAACCAGTACAAAAGATCTAAGCAAATCCAAAGTTTAAAAGATCCCTTAAGCAGTTCAGAGTTCTAATATTATCCATAACAAACCAGTAAAAAATTCCTAACAGCCCATTATCAACCTAGTTCAACAGACACAAATTCACTTGTCATTGCCATGACCTTTTTTGTTAAGTACCAAGTACTTTTTCCCCTTATCAACTACAACCTTTTCATGAGCTAATGTAATGCTGCTTCCCACAGAAAAAACAGGTCTCTCTCCAGTAAATGTAGGAGGCCCTCTGATTTGAACTCCATGTGTGGCTCTTGTAGGCTGCACTGGGTTTCCCCTGACTAACTGCTCATACATGGATGGTCCAGGAGTTGATCTTTGCATTGTGGCCATCAAAGGTGTCTGGGACTGTTGTGTAGGAATTTCTTCCATTACCATACTTTCATCTTCATGATTTGCAGTGGTGGAAACAAAGTTGGGTTCACAGTACTTGCTAGGTTTCTAAGGGATGGACCACTGTTTCTTCTTACCTGAAATTAAAACACACATCAAAATAACTTAGTAATTGCACCCACAGTTAAATGATTATAAAACACAAAGTAGCAGTATATATATTTAAAACACACAGTAGCAGTTAATTGCACCCACATTTAACTGAAATTAAAACACACAGTAGCAGCAGTATGTACATTTAAATTAATTACATGCATCTTCTGCATCTTCTGTACTGGTGGAGGTTGGTTAGTGTTAGATGAACATATGGCCTTCTCCCACCACATCTGCTGCAGTTCACCTTTGTCTGTTGCCTCTTCACTTTTGTAGGAGCTGAAGTTCCTTTTTTCTTCTTATTTTTCCCAATTATCTCATCACTCTCCCTTCTCCTTGCCTTAGAAGGTCTCCCTGCACCCCTTCCAAAATTTGGTGGCAGTGGTGGTATGAAATGGTTATCCTCCCAAAGTTCAGTGCCATTAATGGGATACAGAGTGTTCCCATAAGCAGCCATATACTTGGACACTGTGTAGCATTCATCTACATAGTCCTCAACATTACCTCTCTGAAAATGGATGGCACTCAAAGCATGGCTGCATGGAATTCCAGACAATTCCCAAGACCTACATGAACAAACTCCATCCTTTAAGTTGACAGAGTATTGTGCACCATTGTTACACTTTATCTCAAAGTGTATGTCATCAGCCTTAACTGGTATGCAATTAGCCACTCCCTTATTGTGTAGCTCAAGAAGCTCCATTATTCTTGGACACAATTTATTCTTCCACTTTCTTGCAGCCATATCTCTATTCTCTTGCATTCTCTTCATTAGGTATTCTCTAATCCACTCTAGCATTGTGATAATAGGTTCTCTCTGGCCTCCAAAATACAAGAGTTAAAGGTCTCACAACAGTTATTCAAACATATAACATTTGGGAACATCCTTGAATTGTGATTTGGACCACTGCTCTGGTGGTTTATCAGAGAGCCATTTCCATGCTTCTGGGTTCATCTCCTTAAGCTCTGCCATTCTATTTTGTGAATCCTGACTTGGTTGTGGACATTGCAGCAGCCCATAAGGCATTTGTGAATGCCAAACCCCTAAAACCGGCTGTTTTGAAGTTATTGCAAAGATGCCTGACACAAAATCTGTGATCAGACTGAGGGAATATTTTAGCTACAGCTTGAATGATCCCCTTCTATTTGTTAGACATTAGGGTGAAACCACTGGTGTCAGTCATGGCTAAATCATTCTTCATAATAGTCAAGAACCATGACCATGTCTCTGTGCACTCACTAGTGACCACAGCATAAGAAAATGGGAACCACTTATTATTAGGATCAACACCCACTGCAACCAACAATATACCCTTGTGTGGGCCCTTCAAATGACATCCATCAATCCCCATTATTGGTCTGCACCCATCTCTATACCCTTTCTTCATTGCAGCAAAACAAATGTACAACCTATTGAACCTAGAATTTCCATTTTCATCAGAATCAGTACCTAAAATGATAGTAGACCCAGGGTTTGATCTTCTAAGTTCCTCAGAATAATCCCACAGCTTAGAATATTGCCCTTCTGCAGAGCCTTCCAGAATTTTGAGTGTTCATCTTTTAGTTCTATATGCTTGATCCTTAGAAATGTGACACCTTAGCTCTTCAATGGTGCTTGTCCTGAAACCTTTTACACTTCTCTTGGGGTCTGCCTTAAAGTCCTTTAAGTATCTGTCACACAACCAAGAGGACTTCATATTTTTCACCTGCAAGGTAGATGAACAAAAATAACTACCATATATAAGTGTGAATAAAAAATTAACTACCATATTTAAGTGTTAAAAAAATATTAAGTACCATATTTAAGTGTTAGGAAAAAAATTAACTACCAATATTTGTTTTAACATCATTTAATTGAATGTTAAGAGGTAGATAACATTTCTGACCTGAAAGGTAGATGGACAAGAATGTTCAGAAATGAATTCCTTGATGAACCAAGTTTCTTCATTCTTCTTCTTTATTAGATGCACTTTCCATGGGCAGTCTGTTGCGACACAGGTAACATACAACCTTGTAGAATCACTTCTACATATCTTCACACCTCTGTGACTCTCAATGGCATAACTTTGGACAGCTTTCTTAAATTCTTTTTTGCTACTAAATAGCATCCCAAGCTCAAACACAGGCTTGAAGATAGTGGCAGGATTGAATACAGGCATGTGTTCTCCCTCCTCATAATTGGCAATATGATCCTGTATGTCATCCCCATTATGGACCACATCTTCTTCACTATGACCACTTTCTTCTCTTGAACCCTGAATTGAACCCTGATTTGAACTTTGCACACTATGATCAACAAAATTCTGATATAGATCATCATCATCATCACTGTGGTCATCTTCCATATTGTACTCAGAATCCATGGAGTCTTCATCAAAGTTGTTTTCAACAGGGGCTACATTAGAGTTAATTTCAATATGGTCATTGTCACACTCTTGTGCAACCACATTTTCAGGTGATGACACCCCAGAATGATCATCAATAAGCTTAAACAATTCATCATCATTGTCCAATCACATTAAACGGGATGCTTCTGACAACTGAGTTGTTGTGTCCACACTGTCATCAACATTATTCTCAAACTGCTCATCATCATCACTTTGCTCACTTTCCACATTGTAATCAGAATCAAAAGAGCCTTCACTAGGACGCTTTTGAACAGAGGCTTCATTACAGTCTTTTTCAACAGATGCTTCTCCACCATCCTTTTCAGCAAATGCTTCTGACAGTTTATATGTTGTGTCCACACTAAGATCAATATTGTTCTCAAACAACTTATCATCATCACTACTTTGCTCAGTTTCCACATTGTAATCAGAATCAGGAGAGTCTTCACCAGATTTGTTTTGAAGAGAGTGCTCATTACAGTCTTTACCAACAATTGATTCATCAGTTGGTATCACATCTACATAAATTTCTATCTCCTTAAGAGGTAGATGCTTAATAAACCAGGCCCTAGCATCCTCATCAGTGAAAACACCATGGAAGCTATTGCCACACAATACATAATGTTTCCTCATTTTTCCTTTTCAACAGCCTCATCAGTTAAACTATAAAGAGTTTCTATGTTCATACCTTTACTATGAACATAGTCAAAGATAACTGAATCACCCCCCTTATAGTAAGTAATAGGTTCATTAAAAAATTGACCTCCATAGTACACAACAACACTGAGTTGACAACTCTCACGAGCTATGATAAATAAAAAATTAAAATTTCATTAGAAAAAAATAACAATTTTTCATATGAATAAAATATATGTCTTATGTCCCCACATGTCTGTATAAAGCCAAACATAAAACCAATGCAGGACCACCACTTTAATTCTAGCATTTTAAGTATACTCTCTTGATAATGGTGTATTATTGTCATAAAAAAACAAAAACAAAATTTATAAAGAACAGACAAACTAGTGCGAAACAATGGAAGAGATTAAGGAATCTTACCGTACGTAGGAGGAGAAGAGTTTGGATTCCTATTACTTCGCAAGAATATTGAGGATGTCATCAAATCGACGTCTTAATTTCTAGGGTTCTTGATCGATTTGCAGAATAAAGCATTAGGGTTTCTGGTCGAAAATTGGGGGTGTTTTTTTTGTTCGATTTTTTGCCGATTTTTGAGTGAAAAATAAAGGAGAAAACGCGTGGATGTTGTATTTATAGACCGTATAGCTGAGGTGGATTAATTCGTCCACGTGCAGTCCACGCTGGCATGTTTTGTGACCTCAGGCGGAGTTCCGACGAGTTTGGCCGGATTTGGGTAGAAAGACCGATTTTTTAAAACGTTTTGGCTATTATTGCCAAAGTCGAAAGATGGTGGGTATAAATGCCAACACGTCTAAGTTACTGGCTAATTTTTGTAATTTGGCCATAAATTTTTATACTCAAATAGCTTACGCAACACGCAACGCTATTTACGTCACGCAGTATAAAGACTAAAACGTGACGCATTACACTATATCCGTTTTCAAACAGTGATAGCAGCACATAGTAAATTACTCAACTTTATTTATTCATTGGTGTTACTCCCAAGCTAGCAGCTTTAATTGTTTATTCCTCATCATACACACTCATATTAACCAACACAGCACTAAACTGCGTTACAATACATTACAAATTCACATTTCAACTTGCACACCAATGCTTATTGCTAGCATAGCAACCACACACGTACGTGACCATTTTTTAGTCAGCTGATTTACCAGTAGCTCCAGCTGGCCTGCTGTTAAAGTTAAACGGCACCTCATCCGCGGACGCGGGCACAGCCACTGGCCTGATGTTAACGATAAACGGTGCCTCATCCGCCGACGCGGGCACAGCCAAACGCCTCGAGCGGCCATCCGAGACGACGGTCATGTTCGCGCATTGGTCCGCCATTCTGCACATTTCGCACGCCAGGCAATACTGGAAGTAGAACCAAGTTTCCGGGCCGCTCGGCCCGTACGGCTCGAACTTGAACCAGTAATTGGGGTCCTGCCCACTCGGGTTCCCGAGCACGCCCCCAGTCGAGAGGGTGACTCTCCCGAGGGAGAGGTCGGCACGTACGCCCAACACGGAGCCACTTTTGCACTCTATGGGTGAGGTGGTGAACTGGATTTTCTGATTAGCCCGTGCGTTGATGGGCCCGTCTGGGGTGAGATCGGACGGGTGGAAAGTCACGGGCAGGCCCAGGATGAGATCGGACGACGTCTGAATCACGTCGAGTGGGCAGTTGAATAGGCTCGGGACAAGGGAGAGGTCGCCGCCGGCGGCCCCACGGCCGATCGAGGAGATGTAGTAAGGGACTCCACGGAGGACGGGGTTTCCGGAGGTGTCGACGAGTATTTGGGCCGCGGCAGACGAGAGGAAAAGGAAAGAGGTAATGAGGGAGATTAAGTAAGAGTAGTTACTCATCATTATCTTCTTCATGTGGGTATGAGGAATTTTGTGTTGTGAATTGTAGAGGAGAAGGCTAGTCACGTTTTTATAGGCAAATTGCTCCTAGGGGGACACCTCTAGTGAATTTGCTTTGAGATATGAGGCGATGAATTGAATGGCATAGATTGAACACTTGGGCCTAACTTTTTTTATCTTCTTTTGTCGTCGATCGAGGGTCTTTTGTAAAATTTAAACTGGTACAACGAGTCGAAATCTACAATTATTCATCTTCTGTATTTTAAAACGTGTTTGGGACCATTTTTGTCGTGTAGTACGACCGTCCTCAATTATTCATCTTATGTATTTTGTTTGTGAGAAAATTGGACAGTTAACTAATAGAGCTTTAGTGGTGAGGCCGGCTTCGGGGGACGCTATGAGATTGAGCTAAACCGAAAAATAAAAATATCTTTAACTCAAACCATCCTGATTCGGTTCTAGAGATTGGATTTTTGTTGTCTCTGATTTCAGAATTTTCGGTTCCAGAGATTCTAAATCTCCGATCCGAACCATCTCACGCTCACTCCAAGTTTGTATCATAGTTTACTCCTTACAATGTATGTAAGGGGTTGTTTGGTCCTGCTTGATTGTACTTTATTTAGAGTTTTATATATTTGTAATATATTTTGAGAAAATAAATCTTACTCACTAAGGTTATTGTTAATGTATTTAAAACAATACTTGTCATGGACACATACCTCTCCTAATATATAACATTTTTTTACTAATTGATAATAATAAAATGGACTTGATTCATAAATTTACTGTACTGATAAATAATTTTAAAATTTCTAATTAATTTGATATATGACATTTTATTTTTTATTGTTTGGAAAAAGTATTATACAAATTTATTTATATGTTCAATATGAATGCCTAATCAAAACATGTCAAAAAAATGATTAATTTAATATATCATATATGAAAATTTGATTTCATCAGAAGACCTGTTCGGCTCGGAAGTTGACCAGGTCCGCATCCGAGGACCTGATTTTCATCCAAGGACTTGTTTTGTATTCCAGGACCTGTTTATCATCCGAGGACCTGGTCAGCTCGAAAGTGGGCGAGGTCGGCATCCTAGGATCTGTTTTTCATCTGACGACTTGTTTTTTGTATGTCTATCTTTTGAGCATTTTGACCATTTTCTTTGCCACGCATTACTCTTCTTTTAGTCGTAATCAAATTGGTACCAACGTGAGGCCCTCAAGTCCAGGGCATATTCTGAATGGAACTGACATGAAGTCGTTTTATTTCCAATTTCATAAGTTTCTCGTCTCTAGTTTGACTTGGTTAATCATTATGAAGGTGGTCCCTTGTATGCGAGTGTTGATACCTCGAGCCCTTTATAGTGTGGTTCTCACTCTTTTAGTTATGAAGTACTTAGGCTGATAGGAGGTTATTATTATCTATTATTTTTTAACGTGTTTGCCTTGCTCCTTTTGTCTAGGAGGAGTTTGAGTCATGAATTAAAGATTACAGCTAGGGATTGAACTTGATGTGTGATAGAGCTTGAATTTTTTTGTGATAAAGCGTTACCTCGTCGTGAGAATTAGAGGTTTATATTTTTAAAGATTTTGCCTTAGCTTTTGTAGGAACGCATTTTGTGTTCTTGATATGAATGAGCTTCGGGATCCTCGTTCGAAGGGTGTTGAGCTCTTTATTTGAGTGAGATTTTGGTGGATTGATACCAAACTTGCCAAGGGTGCAGAGTTTGAGTCTGATGAAGGGTAAAAACTGCAGAAAGTCCCAAAATGAGTCTTCACCCTAGGGCTGGAGCATTGTGGAAAACCATGAGTCCCCTAAAGATCCACAAGGGGCTGGCACTCTGGCAAGGCAAGAACTTATAGGGAGAAAGGCTGACGATAATAATCGTCAACACTATTGCAATATCTATTGGAATTTTCATTAGAATATTTTACCGTTGGAATAAGGTAATTTTTATAGTGTTAGAGTGTTATAATTTTAATGTCATGGATAGAATTTATGTGGACAACACTAACCACTACAAATTGACGCATAAAATTATGGAATACCAAAAATCAACACACGTAGGATTACAAAGTACTAGATTTAATTTTGACACATAGGTCCCATAAACTACGCCTTTATATAGAAGAAGTGATATGTTTTAAAAACAATTCTTTCAATAACTAAGTTTTAGAAAGCATTTTTTTTCTTCAATTTCAAAATGTCTACTAAAATTTTTTGCATGTTTGTTGTTTCACTACAAGAAAATTATAAAATTCCAACATAAATATATTTCCATGGATTTTCAATGGCAATTTCAATGCTATTTTCTCCGTTTATTGAGTTTTCAAAAATGAAATTTAGAGAGCAATATTTGCACTTCCTAAAAGGAAGTTACGAGCAATTTCCAATGATATAGTATTCTCCTCAGAAAGATGTAGCCTTTTGTTTCTCTTGTTTCATTTTACAAGAAAAAGAAGCTCGTTTTCGTGGTTTTACAGTTAGTATGTTGTCTTCGTTTTATAGTTGATGTATTTAGGAGTTTGATTAGAGTGAAGCATTGAAAAATATTAGCCTTGTTTATTCGCACAGGAAGATCTATGTCACCACATAATATTGTTGTGCACTCTATATGGGACATTACTAATGCATGTGATTACATTGATAAAGTGATGAATGCGCATATCTAAGCAGCAGAGAAGAATAGTCGATTGAGAGTTATCGCTACCATTGAAAGCATTTGTTAGCTTTGTTTACAATGATGGTTTACAAGCTCTTTTCTTGAGGAACTCTCCACAGGCATATTATGTATATTGTTTCACATATCGATTTTCAATTGACGATAGTTCAACGACTCCAAAAAGACAGCTCTATTTGGCTTTTAGGTTGACTTCAATTTGCAATCTTATTAAAACATCGACAAAATGTCATAGCAAGTTACAATCTACTCAAACTATTGACATTGAAATTATAGTAGTCGCTGGTATTTGCAACACATGTATAATTAGTCTCTCATTCTACTTGTTAATCACCTTGAATTTTAATCACGTCAAGTTTTCATTGATTTCTTATTTGCTTTACGTAAAATACGCACAAGACTGAACCAAATTGGAACTTGGTTGCAAGATAGAAAAACATTGGAGTTTCCATTTTGAGTCTACTTGCAGTATGATATATATGTATCGTTGATTTTGACTATCTGCTCGAGCGTATGACGGAGAAAGTATTTTCTAAGTCTATACATTGGGAAGCTCTAGGTGTTTCACCTGCAATGAGATCATTTGATTTCGTACAAATCTTATATTAGATGCATAAGATTATGACGATAATAAATTTTATTTCTTAATCTTTGCAAAAGAGGACTTTGGATATCTTAAATTCATTGAATTTTGTGCTAACTATAAAATATTTTCTTTATAAAACAAAAACTAGGCTTCGATACTCTTCTTACATATGACCGATATGAGTGATTGTTACCGATTTTCTAAGAGCGTTCCTGTCCATAGAGGTTTTCTACTATAATTGAGAATCATTATCACTATGATGTATCATGTCTATTGTATATTTTTAAATGGAACTTTAAAAACATTTTTAGTGATGGGATTGTAGAACATCTAGGCTTATCTCTGCATTGAAGCTTTAAGACAACATTAAGTTGTTCAATGGCGATATTATTTATATTATTACCGACAATTGTTATCACAATAACTTCAGTGAACAAGAGCTTTATTTGATGAGTCAGCTAAAGCATTATAAGTTATGATATTGTTCAGCATGAGAGGTTAAAGATTATTTGGATCATTTTTTATTTATGTCCACCGCTAATAGAGATGGTGAAGGCAAGACACTATAATTTAATCGACAGAGCGATCATTCTTAGCTATAAAATTTCTCAAAACTCCTCTTCGAAATAAGATGAAAGAAAAGTTCTTAGAGGATTCCAAAATTGTCGACATTGAAAAAGAGTTTATTATAAAAATCAATAGAGATTCAATAATTATCGAGTTTTATAATATGAATACTCAGAAGGCACACCTAAAATAGGTAACATTTTTTAGTTTTATTTAATAGTGATAATGAACATGAATCGTATTATATGTATTTTTTTTTTAACTTAAAATTTAGTAGGCCTGTGTGTGGAGTAATAAGGGGTTGCTTGAATACAAATTTATTCAATCACTTTAGACCCATAACTTTTTTAACTCAAAATCTAACTAAAATTTAAATCAACCCAACTCTCCTCAATATTATCAATATAATCAAATAATATCAATCAATATCATCACACATCACATCAACTTTAATTCATTATTCATCCACTCATATAATTTTAACTACACATCGGTTTTAATCACCTCTCTCCTACTTTTCCATAAAATCAAGTTTAATCGTAATATTTTAAATAATATTTTAATACAAACTCAAAATTTCACTCAAACCTAATCCAACCATTTTTTTTTATTTTTTTATTTTTGTGAAGTAACTCTGGTTAAACAATAAATCTAATTAAAACTCAAATAAATTTGTATCAAATCATCCTCTAAATGTAGTGGATCATGTTATATTGTTAGTTCAAGTTTGTGTGTTTTGAACTTTGGATGAGAAGGGCGGCCAATATTTAAAATTTATCCTATAATTTAACCAAACTCCAAAAATTCGCTTCATCATTGACCCCTTTTAAACTGAGTCTAATAATTTGGGAATTTAATTAACGTTGGTCCATTTTTATCCGTATCCTGGATAAAAACGTGATGTGGTATGACGTGATACCTCGACAGATCTATTTACGATATATCGACTTGATGCTTACTACCACATAGACACATACAACTAGATAAAATAGCAAAATAAAATGAAATGAAATAAATAATAAAAAAGTGGGAATAATACCAAGGCTATATATATTCCATATCATTTTCATTTAATGTTTGTATTTCCATGAGAAAACTAATTCACAAGATTCTTTTGCAATCCTATGTTGCCCTTTAGCTCTAATTGAATTTATAGAAATTCCCCTCTTCACTGTCTCCACTATTTTGTCTAGACTTGTAGCCTTCTCCGACATCCGCAGCTTAAGGTTTGCAGCTCGGTCTGAATCCAGAACTTCGGATTTCACGAACCTCCCAAATTCCTGTTGTGAAAGCCTTGGACCTTCGGCTTGGTGATGGCGGACAAATTCCCTCCAACGGAGACCTTTCGAGTTTGAGCATCGGCAGTGGACACAAGGGTCGGCGGGAAGCTGAGCATCGACGTCACGACAGGCCCCACGCCACTGGCAAGCCCGGTTTGGGTTATGGGTCGACTTCTGGGAGTTCGTGATGTCGTCGATGATGGTCAGGCGGGGAGGGCCAAAGGTGGAAGTTATAGGGCGGCGCACGTGACATGCGCGGAGGATGCATTCGCATTTGTGGTGCTGGCGGCGACCATGGACCTGAGCATTGAGGCCTGCAAAAAAAAAAAAATGAGTTGTCGAAAATTGTCAGTTCCATAGATGGTGATGTTATCAGGTGCACGGCGATACGAGGAGTCCAAAGGTGTACTCAGATTTCGGTGGGTCGTCATGGCTCGCCAGGAATTGAACAATAATACCGAATTTCGATCAAAATTTTTCTAGATCTAAAAACTTTGATCAACGCAATTGACGGCCTTACCGATGGAATTTTCGCCAAAAGTTTTAGGAGGTGAACGAGGAAGAAAAGAGCTTCAAGATTACGTAAAAAAAATTCCGATTGGAGGTGGTCGAGTGGTGGAACAGCAGTGGTAGACAGCGATAGCGGGCGACGGAGGTGGCAATAGACCCTAATTTTTTTTGCTAAGGTTGTGGGTGTTGACGTTGTCGATTTAGGTTCAAGAATTCAGAATAAATTATTGTTTTTGAATTTTCTAATCCTGTCACGTGAAGCACAATCATGTCATGTCTCATTAAAAAATTATCACATCACGCCACGTCACGTTTTTTTATCCAGTGTACAAAAAGGGGGCTAATTTGATTTGCTAAATTATTATATCCAGTTTGAGTAGTGGCATAGTGAATTTTTGGAATTTAGACCAAATTATAAAACCAATTATTTTGGCATGAGAAGGGCCGTCCCTTGATAGCGAGCTCCACGTAATCCTTATCCACTTGCTCTGGGGTGTGGCGACACGTATGCACGGACGACATAGGGAAATGTTATGATAAAGTTGATAACACATGTTTTTTTTTTTTTTTTTTTTATCATTATTAATTTTGTTTCTCGACACAAATTATAAAAATATCTTGTGGTCCAAAAAGTCGTAGTCAAGAATTTAAAAACGTGTTGTCACTCTTTTTGTCGTCTTGCAGAATGGACTATGAGAAGATAAATTAGTTTCTACCATGGGGCATGTTCTGTGGACTTCTTTACCATTGATCTTGATTTCATAGTGTGTGCCTATCTGTATATAAAGGGTGAAAGGGTCCATGGGGCACAAGATCAATTATAGAGGTGGTCAGTCAACAAGTCGTGGCCCGGCCTGCCGGGTCGGCGGGCTTCAAATATTTGGCCCTTACCACCCGGGTATAATTAAGGGTCAGTTTAAAAAAATAAAAAATAAGAAAAGAAAATTATAACTGTGACCCGTCGGGAAATTCGGGTCCGATCCGGCCCGACAAGTTAAGAAGGGGTATAACACGACTTTTAACCGGCCCTTAAGGAGTTCTGTGCCAGTTCAAAAACCGGTTTGTCGGGCCGGTTCCGGGTCGGGCCAACCCGTGATCATGTCTTATCAATTAAGAAGATTGAGAGGTTGCGATGGAATTCGCGAGAAAATAAAATTAAACAAATTTATAAATTATGAATGATGATAGAATAAAAATGTAACTATTATATTTTTTATAACATGAAAATAATAGAAAAAATAATAAAAATATTAATAGTGTTTATTTTTATGAAGAAAATTAAACTTATTAGTTGAATATATATATATATATAAGATAATTATTTAATGAATAGAGTTGATGTAATATAAAATAATAAAATATTAACTAATAGAAATAATTAAATATCAGTAATGTTTTATTTTATGAAGTAAATTAAATTAATTAATTTAATGTGTACGAAAATAAGAAATGACACTATTGAAATCGGTTGAGGAGCATCTTTTATAAATTGATATAACTCTTTATCTATATACAATTGCGGAATGAATTCATCCTAGCCAACTCAATGCGTCGATTTATGATTCTTTGCAATTTTATGCATCGATGCATTCTAAGTGTCAATTTATGGTGGTTCGAATGGAGTCTAGTAGTTTATGTAGATCTAGATTATATCTATACTCATTAACACTTTTAAATTATAAAACACTTAACTAACTCAAATTATTATCATATTTAAAAGTTAATAACCTATATTATTATCATATTCAAATGTTAATAATATCTATTAGGATGATTATTGCAATTGCTACTTTAAGAAATCTTTAAATATCAAATGGATGGCAAAAATTCAAAATTGATCCTATAATTTGGCCACTGTCCAAAAAATCACCCCGATATTGACCACTTTCAATTTGTGGCCCATAAATTTGTCGATTTCATCAATTTTGGTCATCTTTTATCTGCACATTAGATTAAAAAGTGACGTGGCATGAAAAAAGGACCAAAATTGATTAAATCGACAAATTATAGGACCAAAATTGACGTGACAAGTAGATCATAATCACGCCATGTAGCATTAAAAAACTGACACGTCATGCCACGTCACTTTTTAATCCAGGATGCGGATAAAAAGGACCAAACTTGATGAAATCGACAAATTATAGGACCTAAATTGAAAGTGGTCAATATCGGGGTGGTTTTTTGGACAGTGCCAAGTTATAGGACCAATTTTAAAATTTTGCCTCAAGTGGATTGAATTATAAAATATATCAAATAGATATGAAAACGGTTTTTCTAAATGGAGATTTAGAAGAAGTGATTTATATGAAGCAACCTGAAAGGTTCTGTGCTCCTTAACACGAGAATAAAGTTTGTAAATTGGTTAACTCTTTGTATGGTTTAAAACGTGCTCCAAAACAATGGAATGAGAAATTTGATAATGTCATGATTGAATGCGGATTTAATATTAATGAATGTGATAAATGTATTCATGTTAAACGCACATAAATGAGTTATGTAATTCTATGTCCTTACGTAGATAACATGTTTATTGTTGGAAGCAATGATAACATTGTTAAATCCAAAAACGATATGTTATATTCTAGATTTAACATGAAATATATGAGTCTAGCTGATGTGAATATTGGAATAAAAATATATCATCCTTTATTTCAGTATTATGGTCCTCGATAATTTAGACTATGAATCTTTTACCAGATGTACAAAATTCATTGAACGTCAGAAGAAATTGTTCTAAGTCAGATGCTTTATGTGGAGAAAATCCTTGAAATTTTTAACAAGGATGATTCGACTTAGGCTAGATACCCAATACATAAAATTCAACAACTTCCAATTAATAAGGTGAATGTATTTATCAAGTTGAATGCTCAAGGGTAATGGTGAGTTTGATGCATCTAGTGAATTGTACTAGACTAGACATCATCTTTGCCATGAGTAAACTGAGTAGATATACAAGTAACCCAGTAGATGAATACCACAAATGAACTGTGAGATTACTCATATACTTGAGATATATTTGTAAATATGGTCTGCACTATTGCAAATAGTCATCTGTGACTAAACGCTATAGTGATGTCAATTGGATATCGTATATGAAAGACTCTAAATCCACTAATGGATATTTATTAACTTTGGGAGATGAAACATATCATGAACACATTCTAAGAATATTGTTATTGCTAGATTCACAATGGAGTGCGAATTTATAGTATTGGACAAAAGTAGAGAAGAGGCATAATGGCTTCTCCATTTCTTTGAAGATATTGGAATATGGCCAAAGCCCGTGCAAGCCATTTGTATACATTGTGATAGCAAATTGGTTATAGGTAGGGCACAAAGTAATATGTATAATGGTAAGTCTAGACATATCCGTCGAAGACATAATACAATTAGGCAACTACTCTCAACTGGTACTATATCTATTGACTATTTGAAGTCAAAGGGTAATCTTGCAGATCTGCTAACCAAAGGTTTAAACAGAGATTTGGTTGCTAAATCTTTGTGCGAAATGGAACTTAAGCTTCTAAAAATAAATTGAACAATGTAAATTTAACCTTGTTGACTGAACATCCCAAGATCTGGTTTCAAATAGACAACCTAATTGTACGAAGACTCTTATGATAATGATACTATGTTATTCCTTGCCCATTTCTTAAATAGTAATACCCGTGATGAGTATGATAGGCTTTTGGGTTTTAATTATTCTTGTAAGGAAAGGTAGTACGGGTTACTATTAATTAAGAATCATTTATGTGAAAGAGAAGTGAGGCTGCTTCAAAGAGAATTGTCTGAGGTTCAATACGTAGACACTCTCATAGAATCAGACCATAATCATTTTCATTAATGGACATAAAAATGAGAACAAAAATGTGTTAGGGGAAATCTTATGTGAAGTCATCGCATCTATTGGTCAGCTAATAGAGTTAATGTAACTTCACAAGTGAAGGTTCAAAGGGTAACACCTACCTGCGAAATGCTAGGAAGGGTCTCGGTGGAAAACCTCTGATGCTCAAGTCAGTCTCTGCTCGTGAGAGAAAGCTATATGTACTCAAGTAGATGTGTATCCGATGTGTAAGCAAAAGAACCTGGTCACCTTATATACTCAAGGTATTTTGATGTCTAGGAGAATCCTAGTTAGGAAGGAGATCCTCTAGACTCCTTAGGAGAATCCTAGTTAGGAAGGAGATCCTCTAGATTCCTTAGAAAAATAGACTTTCCCTCCTTAAAGGATTCTTGTCCCCTCTTACTTTACTGCTCTTAAGTTATCGAGGTTGAGCAGAAGACCTTGTTGCCTGTTCATCATAGTCTGTTGCTAGGTCATAATTACGATCTCCCTCTCTACGCCAGCCCATGAGATCCCTTCCATTATCCAAGCTATTTGAGGTGCACGACCTCCGAGCTCCTTGTCTTAGGTCAACTTGTATATTGAGCCACCTAAATGAGCTCCTTGACATGATTATGTGCTGAAAAATAGACTGAGCCCCTTTGAACCGTCCACAACCAAGCTAACCATTCTGATCGGTTGACGGAGCTATTCTGGGTGCTATATCAATAGCCATCTTAATTTTCATTTTCCCAGTAAAGTTCCCAGTAGGACCTTGTATTCATACCGTCCTCCATGAATGAGATATTTTATTCTACTTTCATGTTTCATTTCGTGTTCCATTTTGTTGTATGGATGATATGTGTATATGATAATATCATATTTATATACGTGCCAATCATCCAACGGAATGGAACACAAAAAGGAACATGTAAGTGGAGTAGGAAATATGATCTCGACTTGTATATGATTCCACGTACCCGAACCATAAACCAGCCGACCTGGATATTAACCCTTTGTTTTATTTGTAAGGAAAAAAAATGGTTTTGTACTTATTTTATGGTTCTAGTTTTCGTAAGTGGAAAATTTGGAATAAAATCTTAAAAGGTTTTTTGGTTGAATGTGAAATTAATTATATAGTTAAAATGTGTGAAAATCGAGTTTACTAGTAGTATAAGTAAAGATTCTATTATTGATGAATTTTACTCTGTAAAAGCTCATCGAGCACAACTTCAGTGACTATTTAAAGAAAAAATATTATATTATTTTTATGAAATTGAGTTTTCATATTTCTAGCCCAATCCAATATTAATCTTTGGATATGTTCCTTGTCAGAACCAATATATATGTAAATACAGGGTTGGTGATGTTGTCTATACTTATATAATAAGAATTAACATTTATCCAAAATAGTAGGTCAAATTATGGTCAATGTCGGATTTGCATTAAATATTTTTTAAAACCGATAAGTTTTTGTCCTTTTCAAATTTCTCATTAATTATGTCCTTTTCACACTTCTCATTAATTATGTCCTTTTCACACTTCTCATTAATTATCTTTTTCACACTTCTCATTAATTATGTTCTTTTCACACTTCTCATTAATTATGTCATTTTCTTACATCTAATTAATTCATTAATTATGACATAATTATCATAAATCATTTCATCTCAGCTTTTATCGTTAAAATGTATAGCGATCTGTTATGATCTTATCCCATTGATATTTCCATGAAGCGTCCTTATCGCGTTCTATTTTTTGGTAACCACTCTATATCAATAACCGGATATTTGGTTAATGATAGCACACGTCTTTATTTCAAGGAGCGGATATTCTTTGACCTTTAATTAATCTGAACTGATTGCCTTGACTTTTCAATTTTTAAAAACTCTTTTTTTAAATATTTCGGCTTAAAATTCGGATTTCATTATACAAGTCATCGAATTGTTTGAATGAAAATAAATGAAAAGAACACCAAAAACAGGTAGCCTTATTCATATAACCAATCCTAAAATATTAGTTTGTTCACCGAAAAGAGACAAATTCTAGAAATCCTAAAATATTAGTTTGTTCACCAATCCTAAAATATTAGTTTGTTCACCAAAAATATTTATTTGATTTTTAAGATTTGTCTCTTTTGAAAATATTAGTTTGTGATAATGAGGAGTTACCAAATAATCAAACTCATAATGCTGTGTACAAGGAGGTTTTTAATAATATATGATTGTTACCGAACTTTTTATGATTCAACAATGTTCCTAAGTATTTTAATGATTTCAATTTCGATCCTAATGCACGTGAAGTTATATTATTCTTCCAAATTTTACATCCCGTACATCGCACGGGTAACGTACTAGTTTGTCATTATCTGGTAAACAAAGTATGTACACACTCCAACATTATTTTACTTTTAATTCTTTCTTAAGCTAGCAAGTCTCTAGTAATTTTGAGTAAAGCTTTTTGACACACTTCTATGAAGTAGAATTTATAACTACAAACAAGTTTTATTTGGAACCAATATTTTACATACAACACTCAGATAAATGAACTTCATATATCATTCATTCATTCATTTATTCTTCGTTAACACTTCAACAACGCTCACATCTTTTTTATTCCACATACATAACCCAAAGCCAACACTTGCACAACCGTACAAACCCAAGTACACATTATTGATACATACATTCAACTTAAGCACGCGCATGCATGCATTAATCAATTATCAGTAGACATCTTGATCATGCCGCGGGCACCCTCATCATATTTCCTAAACACAACCTCAAACGGCCTTTCCGCCCGCGAAACCAAAACCAAACGCCTCACCCGACCGGACGCTCAAGTCCCTGCACGAGGGCATCATCTTGCACATCTCGCACGCCCAGCAATACGACAGCTTGTAGTTTGACCCGTAGGGTCGGATCCTGAACCAGTAGTCCGGGTCCTTATCCGACCCGAGCTCTCCCCCCGTCCGCACGCCCTCACTCCTGGTCCACGGGTCACGGCCCACCGTCCACACGGGATTCGCGTCGCACTGCCACGTGTCCGCGTCGCTGAACTGGATGTCCAGGTTGGCCGAGACGTTGACGGGCCCGCCTTGGACGCCGCTAGCGGGCCAAAAGGACGCGGGGAGGCCCGGCTGGCGGTCGGACGAGGTCAGGATTACGGGCGGCGGGCAAGCTCCCGGGCGGAGGGAGAGGTCGCCGCCGGCGGCCCCTCGGGAAGTGGAGCTGAGGTAGTAGGCGCCTCCCACGACGAGCTCGTTTCCGTTGGCGTCCAGCACGGCGGGTAGTTGGGCGGCGGAACCCCAGAGGAGGAGGAGGAAACTGCAGGCAGTGAGGGAGATTGTCGAATAAGGAGTACTCATCGTAAAATTGTTTAAATGGATGTGGGTAAATGCCAATGGTAATCGGGCGTGGATGGCACAAGAGAAGGCTCGACGTTTAAATAGCCAACGATGGGGTAATCG